TAATAATAATAATGATGAAAATTATGATAAATTAATTGTATATAGCGCTCTATCCCTTACGAGTAAAAGTTCCGAGCGCTTTAAGTGTATGGGTCTAAGTTTAACACTATTAGGTTATTTAATAGGCAGAAACCCCGAATTTAACGCCAGTCGCCGAAAGCACAGAGTCAATAAATAGGTTGAGAGCCCTGAAAAGAAATTCACAAAGCGAGCCGACTTCGAGAGCATCCAGTCTTGGATTCGAACCACGACCATAGGCTCTGTTGTCCAGCATGATACTAACTGAGCTAACGATCTGGTCCTTTTAAAAAGTTTTAGTAAAGTTTTACGGCGCTCGCAACTGCATAAAGTCATATGAGCGCCAAGGGGTGGATATTCAACCGAGACGCCCAAACAGGGAATCAGGCTTACTCTGCTCACCTCTCTAACCTCAACAGCACAAAGTCGACCATCAAGGCACCCTGGAAATAGCAGTTCACAGGAGAGTGACAAACATACAAAAGAAATAGAGGGAAAATGACGATAGAAAGGATGGAGAAAGAAAAAGTAGCAGTTCCCCATGTGCTGTTCCGGCATAAAGCTCCCCTGTGTCTATTTGTTTGTGTGACTATAACATAGGCAAAGTCGGCCACCCATTGTCGAGGAGAAAAGTGAACGTCTTAGACAGGTGATCGTCTTATTCAATACCATTATGATGTAAAAAAAAAATGTAAGGGGAAAAATGGGAAGTAGTCGTTTGTACAGGTCATTGTACAGGTGGCTGTTTGAGCAGGTATGACTGTATATTATTACATTACTAGCTGGGTACCCATTCGACGAATGGACTCAAAAGAATCGATCGTTAGGTCATTGTGGAAGCAGTGCGCACTGCTTGTGAACGGAAGCCTCACTTGTTTACAATGGCGTCTTTGAAGACGGACTTTCCCAAGATTTAGATCAAAAGGAAACTAATGAAAAACTGAACCTTGAATTAGTGACTTCAGACTCTTCAATATAACTATGCACTCTTTAAATGATTCTGAACCTTCGTTATTTTTTTTTAATTCGAAAGTTTAGTGGTTTGCAAGTTTTAGGCCACCAAAGTGACGAACTTTCACAAATATAATGTATATATATATACATAT